TTTTTTTGGATTTCCTACGCACTCTGCTGACCCATAACTGACTAAACTGGTGAGTACCAGTTTTTAGTTTGTTGTGAAGAAGCCTAACTTGTATATTACAATCGATAAATGCAATTCGTGAAAACTTTAGGCATACAATTTTTAGGACGCTGTATGTGTGTGTTTATTGCGTCATAGACTCGGGCAGTAATTTTTCAGTGTATGTTTTCTCCATAGGTTTTCGGATTATATAAATACTTAGAAGAACTATTTCTTAAAAAAAAAAAAAAAAAATCAAGAGATGGTCCACTACAGGGACAGTCAGTCCGAGAGGCCACCTTTGTCTCGTATTCTGCCGCATCTCTACCTTGGTGCAGAGACTGACGTAACGCAGGTATATTTACAATTCTCTGATGATTCCTCATGCTAAAGAGTACATAATCCTCCCTAAACCATAATAAAATTACATTTGCTATGTAAGTTAGTTTATTTGCATATATATTTGCTACAATAGTTTGTTCTAGTCGGTGTTTTGCTGAACACAGAAGTTGTTTTCTCACCTCGCACAGGATGGTTTGTCCGACCGAGGCATCTCATACGTATTAAGTGTGAGCCGATGCTGCCCACAACCTTCATTTCTGCCCCAGTCCCAGTACCTCCGTATCCCAATAGACGACTCCCTGCGGGATGACCTGCTTCCTTGGATCCCTCAGGCGTTGCACTTCATTGGTGAGGGCCCCGGAATCCCACTGCTTGCATCAGCCTGCATTTGCATCCCAGCTGCATTACATCATTAATATATCTAGCATCGATGCACAGAGCTGTGACTATGGAAATAGATTTGTTTTGTCTGTGCAAAAAACATAATATGATGCTAATTTAAAACAGATCATTATTTTATGCATCTGGTAGAAAATTTGGGTTATAGGTGTAATTGCATGTATAATATTTTTAATAAACTGTTTCAGATGGGGCCATGTCATGTGGCTGCTCAGTCCTGGTCCACTGTGCTGCAGGAATCTCTCGGTCTCCAGCACTTGCTGTGGCTTACGTCATGTATAGCCTGAAAATGGATCTGGATCATGCATACAGGTAATGTGCATATGTTGTTTTGTTTTACTTCTACTGCCATTTTCTGTGTAAAAAAAAAATCATTTTGCATCAAAAAAAAGTGTGAGATATGAAATTGGTGATAAAAGTGAGAATGATTTGTTTCATTGTTTTTCGTTTTTTTGTATCATTGGGCCATTCATGTTTTGTTTTGTTTTGTTT